TTGGCCGCGGGGCCCGGGGAGCTCGCTAGCGGGTGGGCGTTACCGGGCGCGGCGCGGCGTCCCCTGCTCTGAGGAAGAGGGTGCGAAGGCAGGGCGCCGAGGGCCGAGTGTGTCTGGAGGTGCGCGTCCCGCTTTCCCACCCGGTTCTTTGTGAGGAAGACTCGGCGTGTTTTGCTGGGGACCGCCGTGGGCATCTTCGGGGGCGTGGGGTTGGGTCCGCGTAGTCAGACTCTTCCGAGAGAGGTCCCGGAGTCGGGCTGGGTCTGAAATAGGTGAAAAACACCAGCTCCCGAGCCCGGGCCTGTGCGGACGCAGCACGGACCGCCTGTCAGAAGAAGAACCGCGTCTTCAGATATGTTTTTTTAAGTACCGGGTATCGAACCCAGGGTTTCTGCGCCGAGCTACCTCCGCGGCCTTTTCTACATTTTAAAAAAAATTTTGAGATACGATCTGAGTTGTTCAGGCTGGACTAGAATTGCGATCCTCCTGCCTCAGCCTCTTGGAGTGCTGGCTTTACAGATGTGAACTACCTACCACGCCCGACTCAGATGTGCTGTATTAGGCGGTATCTAGAAAGGCACAGTTCTCCCTATCAGCATAGTTAGCTAGTTAGGAAAAAACAAAACAGTAAAAATGAGGGAGAGACTCACGTGGATTGCAGAGAAGCCAGGAAAAGTCTGAGGGTCCAGCACTTATTCGAAAGATGGTGTGGTTTGGTGCTGGTTATATAAAAAGGAGGAGGAGGATTGCTGATTCCATTGAAACGTTGAAATCTAATGCTCGCAACATGTTAGCCTCTGGGTTTGGCTTAGCAGGTCTAAAAGTTATTCCCATTTTTGTTGGGATTCAAGTTATGGTATTTAATGTAGAAAGCGCTGCCTGCCCTTTTCCGGTTCTTTGAAAGATAAATAACCTGATTCCAAGGACAGTATTTAAGAAATGCCCAGCCTGGAAATATTCTTTTGGTTGTTATTGACTTCCATTTGTTTTGTTTCTCTTTTTTTTGTTGTTTTTATCCGGAGTTTTTGGTTGAAAATCAAGAATCCTTGGTTTCTAAGATTGCTAAAAATCAGAGCCTAATATGTGGATTAACTAAATTTTCAGCAATAGATTTGGCTTCACTTCTTGCCTTACTACTAGTCAGTAGTGACCTTGAAAGAAAGGAGGGGGGCCGGGGATTTAGCTCAGCGATTCTGCC